GCACTCACGCGTGCAAGCACACGTGCACTCACACGTGCAAGCACACATGCAATACACGTGCACTCACGCGTGCAAGCACACGTGCACTCACACGTGCAAGCACACATGCAATACACGTGCACTCACGCGTGCAAGCACACGTGCACTCACACGTGCAAGCACACGTACAAGCACACGTGCACTGACACGTGCAAGCACACGTGCACTCACACGTGCACACACACGTGCACTCACACGTGCAAGCACACGTACAAGCACACGTGCATTCACACATGCAAGCACTTACACGTGCACTCACACATGCACTCACACGTGCACTCACACGTGCACTCACACGTACAAGCACACGTGCACTCACACATGCACTCACACGTGCACTCACACGTGCAAGCACACATGCAAATGCAATACACGTATAAGCACACGTGCACTCACGCGTGCACTCACACGTGCAAGCACACGTACAAGCACACGTGCAAGCACACATGCACTCACACGAGCACTCACACGTGCAAGCACACGTACAAGCACACGTGCACTGACACGTGCACTCACACGTGCACTCACACGTACAATCACACGTGCACTCACACGTGCAAGCACACGTGCATTCACACGTGCACTCACACGTGCAAGCACACATGCAATACACGTACAAGCACACGTGCACTCACACGTACAAGCACACGTGCACTCACACGTGCAAGCACACGTGCACTGACATGTGCACTCACACGTGTAAGCACACGCGCACTCACACGTGTAAGCACACGCGCACTCACACGTGCAAGCACACATGCACTCACACGTGCACTCACACGTGTACTCACACGTGTAAGCAGACATGCACTCACACGTGCAAGCACACGTGCACTCAGTTGGAGTGGAAAATGTGTGTCCACTCGATGCTGATTCCTTCATTCACAGATTCATCGCAGTCAGAGGGAAACCAGTCTTCATCAAATCAGATATTGGAAACAAATTTATCAGTGCAGAGATCGCGTGTGTGAGGAAAAGCCCGATCGGGTACGGCAAAACGCAGCTGAGCCGACCGAGTATACCTTTGTGCTGCTATGACTCATTTGGTCTCTAGAAGGGGTAAAAACGACCCATTGATATTTAGAAGGTTTAATTGTCGTGAATAAGCACACAGCGCTGTGCTAAGTGATCGAGAATAATAACTACAGCGTTTTCTACAGTTGCATGATCACGCCACCACGCCATCACATAAATCTGTACTTGACAAAAATAATATAATTGATATCATTCCTAGTTAACAGGTAATCTATTCCATGATATCTGTGCCATAGCCGGATGAATTATACGGAAATTGAAGTAGTAACTCGCATAGCAAGGCGTATATATATATATATATAGCATTTCAACACATCGCTAGAACCAGTAAAAATTGTTCATTTTAGGGCACAGCCAGATGACGTATACGGACGGGAAATACAAGCGTTACATCAATGCTCCTGTTGCTGCATATCCATACTAGATGAGGGCATGCAACTATTCACAACCTTTCGCGGTAATCAGTGCAGTTCATTACATAACCAGGCATTTATAAAAATCATAAAACAAAAGTGCGTATACGTGTACAGAATTTAACCTCACACATTTACCTGCTAGTTATACCTTCAACATTTTATATAACAGTATAATGGCTAAAACATTGTTATTAAAGTTATTATTGCTATTGTTGCTTGCGGCGTGCGCGCTATGCGCGCTATTGCTTGCGGTATACGCATGCTATCATTGTGTATTGCTGCGTGTTATCCAAATGATATATATTTATTCAATTTTGACTACCACACAGTATATACCGTGTGATTCTGAGTGCGTCACCATGGCCGTAGCCTGTGTGTGTGTGTGGGGGGGGGGGAACTGCTGCCCCCTAGATTTTGGAGTAAAATTAAAAAATAAGCTTAGCTAATAATCGTAAATAACCCTAACGTGATTTTTTTGGTCACTTATCCATAGAAGCCTTGTCTCAGACCCACCCCTACCACACTATGGACGTCGATCAAAAGCTGCGCTCGGCGCTTATCATTACACAGTTGAGTCATGTAATTTTGTCCCCCTCCCCAGGCGCGGATTTAGATGGGGGCACATCCGGCCAGTGCCCCCCCCTTTTAAAACCAAAAATAAATAAAAATAAATTACATTATTAAAAAAATTACAAAATTACAAAATTAATTTTTCTCAATTTCAATGTTGTAAATAAGGTTAAAAGATGAGGTTCCAGTCAGAAATTGTGACATCATGACCCATTTTCATCTTTAACATAACTATTCAAATTTGTCAGTCATTCTTCTGAATTTCCTGCCAAAGAAAACATCTCAGAGTCATTACAAGAATTTGATTTTTACATTGTTAGAGATATATTTCTGGCCTGCAACTGTTATATGTCATCCATGTATGTATAACCGGATGTTTCCTTAGGGAAGAAAGTACTAATTTTATTTTGCTTCTGTAATGACATACTCATACTAATACAAACATTCTTTCAAGTTTGAAATATATTCGAGTTATCACAAGATATTTTTTTTGAAATTGCCATAATCATTTTTCTCTAGCCTGCAATAGTTATTTGATATGTGAATGTGCTCATGTATACACATGATTCAGTGTCAGAAATACTATAAGGTTTTAAAACATTTTCAGTGTAATGATAATTTCTCACGGTACATTTTTGACGGTCTTGCCTCCCCCCCGCCCCCATACCGAAAGAGCTGTCAGTCACGCCACTGATTCCAATTTAACACATAAAACCTGGCTTTGCGGTGCAATATGAGTTAAAATACCTCTAGCATTTATCGCACCAGATTGCACCTTTTAAGCTAAAAAGTTGCAAAAACTCCCTATTGTGCCAGGAGGCGGTGTACAGGGGGGGTACGGGGGTCCGGGACCCCCCACCCGCGTGGCTGCGGCGGCCAGAACGGAACGAGTCTGAGGGGGTGTAATTCAAAATTTACCTCAGACCCCCCCTTCGCGTGCTTAGCGAAAGTATGGGTTTACGGTTAGACCTCGTCCCCCCTTTGGTCACATTCCTGTTACACGCCCCTGCGGCCCCCTCACCTTCGCTGTCGCTCTCTCGCGCGTGATCATCCCCACATTTCACTAAATATTGCTCAATTGTGGGTGCCGCCTCTTTTTTGAAAGATTTCTTGGGGATCCCCCTTTGCCCCCCCCTAATGAATTTGTTCAGCCTACGGCCCTGGTCACTCTTTAAGTATAAGACAGACACATGTCCATTGTTTGTTAACACTCTCTGAAGATAGAAGATACGCGTGTCAATGTGTAATTTAGAACTGTATACATATTTCGATGTTAAACACAGGATACTAACATAGTTGAGGAAATCATTTTTACAATTATTTATGGCGTATTGAATAATTGCATTACATTCTCAATATTTTGTAGTGGGGTTCACTGTACTCGATGAATCGAAAGCGCAATTTATCAGTGCCTAAAGAATGAATTTGTTCGAATAATTTCACAACATTCGCGTTTTCCCCCAAGTAGTTCCCACTATACTGTAATAAAAAAAAAACCATTTCTGCAAAAGTTCCATGGATCATTTCGCATTTTTATTTGATGATTTCATTTTTCATGCTTTTCTCAGGACAGAAAAATACAGTGGCTTTCACATAACGCAATGCAACACAGTTATCTAGTCACCCTTACTATAGGCCTACACGATAGACTGATATAGCTATCCGCCCACATTCGCAATATTACGATAAGACAACGCATCATACTGTTTTGCATTATCAGAATACTAGCATTACAGAATATAAACTAATGATGAATCACAAATAAGCAGTGTTACATGCAATACAATATATTTTTGCGATTTATCGGAATGGATTATATCCTATGTACAAAAATACGTAAACTGCTGTGCCACCACGTAAAATAGGCCGCCGATAAACTGTGATATTAATATTTTTGTTCTATAGCTCCAAATGGTCAAATAAAAATACAAAATTATACCCTTTTCTTGCACAACCGAACGATGTACCGCACTGTTTTCCCCACTTAACTAATTGATCATTACTGCAGTGGATGTATGCTACAAGAGCCAAATTAGACTTGAAATCGGTCTAAAAACTAGAACTTTGAACTGGACATCTTATTCAATTGCGTGTAAACCAAACAATAAATTGATAATTTACCTATATTCATTTAATTTTAGAGAACTGTAAACAGAAACAAAACCGACTCTAAATATCGAAACATAGTCCCACAACAAAAAGCTGCCAAACCTTCGCGATAGTATTAGCTAAATCGAATAACAAAAAGTATAATACATATACATATCATATATATATATATATATATATATATATTAATTAATGCTACAGCGCATAGACATGCATTGCACTCACCACGTGCAAACAACATATGCTATCACATCACACGTGCAAGTGCACATGCACTTACGCGCTCAAGCACACATAAACCCACACGTGGCCTACACGTGACAAGACCACAGTGCCATCTCACACGTGCATTCACACATGCACTCACAGCGGTGTACACTCACAGTGCAACACGACGTCACAGCACCACGTGCATTCACACAATGCAAGCACGTTACACAGTGGCACTGCACACATTGGCACTCACACGTGCAGAGCACGGCATGCCCACACGTGTAAGAGACATCAATTCACAACATGCAAGCCTCATCCACGTGTAAGTCCACGTACCAGCACAAATGCCATACTCACACGATGCAAGCCTGCATGCACTTCACACGTGCATGCCATACATTGCACTACAACGTACCAAGCACACGACAAGCACACGTACAAGCACACGTGCACTCACCGTGCAAGGACACACATGCACTCACACGTTGCACTCACACGGTGCAAGCAGCACGGTTGCACTCGAACGTGCCATCACATCACACGTGCAAGGCAGCACATGCAATACACGTACAAGCACACCGTGCACTCACACAGTTGCAAGCACACATGCAATTACACGTACAAGCACACGTGCACTCACACGCTCGCACACTGCACTGCACGTGCAGACACGTGCAAGCCACAGTCACTAGCACACGTAGCACCACACGTGTGCACTCAGCACCGTGGGCAAACAACCGTGCAAGCACAGGCATTAGGCCACTCCACGTGCATAGCACACATGCAGATACGACGCTTACAAGCCAACGTTGCACTCACTGACGGTACAATCACACGGCACTGCACTCCACACACGTGCAGCCCAGCACTCACACGTGCAAGCACGTACGTGCAAGGCACACGGTGCACTACACGGTGCACTCACACGTGGTAAGCACACGTGCACTACACGTGCAATGCACACGTATAACAAGGACACGTGACTCGACACGTGAAGCACGTGCACATCACGATGTGCACTCACACGTGTAAAGCAGCACGTGCATCCACAGCGTCGCGAAGCAACATGCAGCTCAGTGCTGGAGTGGAAAATGTTGTGTCCACTTCGATGGCTGATTCCTACATTCACGAGCATGTCATCGCAGTCAGAGGAAACCGTTCTTCATCAAATCAAGAATATTGGAAACAAATTATCAGGGTGCAGAGGCACAGAAGAGAGAGAGAGAGAGAGAGAGAGAGATGAGAAGAAGAGTGGAGAAGGAAAAGAGAGAGAAGGATGAGAGAGGAGACGAGAAGAGAGAGACGAGAGACTGACTGACCTAGCGAGTTGCGAGAGAGAGAGAGAGAGAGAGAGAGACAGAGTGAGCGAGAGACAGAGTGAGCGAGAGCGAGAGTGAGCGAGAGAGATGTGAGGGGAGATACACGAGTGGAACCTAGACCGAATTCATGAGAACATGCTTCAGATTGCCATTCAGTGGATATTCAATCGTCCATCTGGTTCGCATTACGGCAATGCGAGGGATAGGCTCATCAGATTTGTACGGAAGCTGTTATAATCTGTTATGCATGAGTAGAGACTGTGTGGATGGACGGCAACGAACTCCAGACACTCCTTCCCGGGGGGAGGGCACTCCCATTTATAAAGGTACTGGGAACGTGCCGCTGGAAGGGTATATTTTCCAAACATCATTATTGGCACAGGGATATATATCTAGATACACACCCATCAAGCTGATATTGAACCAATATTGGCAAAACAATATTGGGCCAATATCACCAGTCCAATATTGGACCAATATAGGCAGAGATTGGTACAATATCGGCCTAATAATAGCAAAACAATATTGGGCCAATATCACCAGGCCGATATTGAACTAATGTCTGCCTATATTAACAGGACAGGACATAACCGAAATGTGCAATATTGCAACAGGGTATACTTTTTTGTGCAGTATATTGGGACAGGGTGTATTTTAGGGTGCAAAGCGGTTTGCGACAGGGTCAGATTTTCAAGGTCCTGGAGGCATCCCCTTACCCAGTTCCGAGGCAAGTGCCCCCCCCCTCGGGACTCCTTCGCGATTCACCTTCAAGTTCAATAGACGTCCGCTTATGGAAGTGTCAGGCAGTGTTAACGATCTCAGCGTGCTCACACTGACTCACCTGTTACTTTTACGTACGGGAGAGTGGTTCCCTCTAGGAGCTTTCATCAAGACAGGCTACTACACTAGGAGCTAGACGATGGAGATTGACGATGGATGGTTTATACCCATGCAGTACCTGGCGGATCTATTATTCAAGAGGTAGATAACGGTGTCACCGATTCTGCTCAAAAGTAGGCAGAAATGAAAATAAAGAGAGAGTTATGAGTCGTTGACCTCGGGATGATTGCGTTCAACTCTCCAAGACATGCTTAGAACATATGAAGGATTCAAGAGGTCGTGAAAGACAAGGTTAATTAACACTGTGAGTGTAGTAAAGGTGAAAACTGCATTCGACTGTGTTATCGGGGTAGGTTAAGAAACAGATGTAGATCTAATTCAATGTAACAATAAATGTAGAATACAAGAGTCAACAACATATTACATTACATAAAAAACAGAAAATCTAACTCAAAATATAATTTGTAAAGATAGTTTGTTAATAAATAAGATACTTCATTGGGTAAACATGTGTATGTAAAACTATATAAATCGTGCTAGGCACACTTTTCCATGTAGATCAAGAATCTAATCATACCAACCACACAGATATATATTGTTTATTTTTCTTTACATTGTAAGCAATCTTTCATCTATCTTCATTGTCTACAACTCTACATTCTCCGATGAGTATTAAATGCTTTATAAAGACTGGTATAAACGTTACACCCATCATCACCTAATATATCCCTAAGAAAAAATACTACACCGTGGTTATAACATTCTCACATTGATTTTAAAAAACATTACACTGATACAAAAATAGCCACTTCTTCCTCAATTTAGGTGCTCCATGTGGATTTCATCTGGATGAGTGCCCATGCTGGTGTGCATCTCATTCGAAACATCCTCATCTTCGTATGTTGCCGCAAAGATCAACTGCATGCACATGTTTAACCACTCTGAAATTCATAAAAATATTAGCCATGTGATGTGGATCGATAAGCATATATTAATGGTGTAACTAGCAATCTATGACAAGCGAGTGCTATAAATAACGCTTATAGGGTCTATGTCCCCCAGGGTACTGCCGGAACGTACCCTGGGTACGGTCCGGTATACCGGAATGGTTAGGGTTAGGGTTAGGGTTATGGAGTAGGCGACTCCCTAGACTCGTTAGTGGAGTAGGCAAGGTACGGTCCAGCATATTAGATAGTACCAGGGTACGTACCGGTAGTACCCTGGGGGACATAGACCCTCTCAGCATAAATAACATCTCACACCAAATGCTCATGAATCTAATCTTCTGATGCTGATGCTTAATTGTATCCGCCGACTTTAATAGTCTATGGTTTCATGTCTGTCCAGCCGCCGCCGCAGACACTTTCCCTTCCGCTCTATAACTTGACCCCTAATTGACCTAGCGCTACCAAACTTGGTATACTTACACATCTTGGGGAGAATGTGTGTCGCGTACCAAAACCACGTCACTGCGGCTTTTATTTTACCTTGACCTTGACCTTGATCATATTTCCCTTCCGCTCTATAACTCGGCCCCTAATTGACCTAGCGCGACCAAACTTGGCATACTTACACATCTTGGGGAGAAGGTGTGTCGCGTACCAAAACCCCCAAGGCAACCAATTTTAACATACTTCAACTTGCACATCTCAGGCAGATGAGTTGTGTAACAAACCTTTGTCTTTGTGACTTATTTAACTTTATCCACCTTCTACGTCCTTACAGAGATATTTCATTCATACTAGATCACGGAGGATACATGTAGTTGGCGACAACTGCCCTTTCTAGTTCTAAAGCCAATGTCTTATAATATTTGCAGTTCTGTGGGATGCTGTTATAGAAGGATCATGGAGTCTACTATAGTTAGGCCTATGAAGGAGCACAAGACTGTTATGAGAATATAGCATTGTCAGAAATTGTTAATAGTTTCTTGCTATCCCATCAGGAATAAAGATAATGCGTTTTTCATTAACAATATAATTTTTACTGTATAATAGGCGCGTTCACACTGGCGCGAATAAGCGGGATGCAAATCCCGGTTTTTGCATCGCGATCGAAATACCGAGATTATTACAAGTGTGAACGCAATAATACTCACTAATAATCGCGATCAGCATCGCGCTCCAAATCGCACTTTTGACTGCGATTATTTGGAATTAGCGCGATTATTTGCGTGTGTGAACGCTCGCTTTGGAATTAGCGCGATTATTTGCGTGTGTGAACGCTCGCGCAAATAATCCCGGTATTTTCTATCCCATCATTCCAAGCGAGTGAGCAGTGAGCATGCGCAGTGAGCATAATTCCGGCACTGAGCATGCGCAGTTCGATTAATAGAATTATCCCGCTCGGCGATTAGCGCGATTATTTGCCTGTGTGAACAACGACACAATTATCTCGGTATTTCATCGCGATTAGCATCGCGGTTTTTCTTGTGTGTGAACGCGCCTATTATCAAATACAGTATTAAGATAATTACAATGTATAATTTTTTTTTATCATTATTGAACAGCTGTTATAGGTGCTGACAGGGTAGACCACACTGAGGACTTTCAAGCGAATTTGCTAGATTACATCAGTGCAATACAACTATAAATTTTCTGAAAAAAATCTAGGTAAAAAAATTACTAAGACCAAGACTAATACAATTATTATGACTAATCATCGTTTCTGATAATGGCAGGGGCGTAGCTACGGGGGGGCCCCAAATTTTCTGTGCCCCCCCCCCCGCAGGTGTCCCCCCACTGAAAATTCATGCTTGATAAAAAAAATATTGAATTAAAAACAATGCCGTTAGAACAGATTAATACAAAGAAAAGTTATATATTCTGCCACCCCCGAAAAAGTAAGGCCCCCCCCGGGCCCCCCCCCCCCCGCTGAGAAAATCCTAGCTACGCCACTGGATAATGGCCCCAAGACCTATAGTTAATATTTAATGAAGACTTACAAGAGATTCCTTGACAATAAATTCACATTTATTTAACTGTGACACGCACCGTTGAAGTTGTCTAGGGCCTTGAAGGCTGCAGGCCGGCACTTGCTCTCCATTATAAAGACAGCATAGCAGGGTAGTGACATAGCTGCTAGGAACAATCCATATAGACACATCTTTGGCTGTGTCCAAAATGGCATCACAAGCAGTAACGCACTCAGCACAAACAGTATTATATGCAAGATGATTGGAAACTGCAAAACAAAAACAGTTCTGACGGTTACATGCCATGGTTTGTACAATAAGGGAAGCTCAGAGTTGAAAGCAGCTTTATCCAAACACCACTAAAATTTATTGATACATCCCAGTTTTGAGAGAGACTTATCATATTGATATATATATAGAGATTTTATGTCTGTTTTAGATTATAGAGTGAGACACAGACTCAAGTCAGCTCATATAGGGGCCGAAATGACAATGAACAATGGTTGGCACACATTCAGTTGCTAAATTAGAAATTAGCAGTTACAATCTATGTCATACAATTAGCTGATACACACATGACCAATTTTATTTACACACCTTTACTGGCCGATTCTTTTCAGGGTATTTGTAGCGCCACCACAAAACTCCAGAAACCAGCAGCAAATTGTTTAACCAAAACAAAAACTGTAGATATGTGATGAGCTGGTATACTCCTGACACGAAAACATAAAGCGATGACAACAGGCCCTGAAAATAACAACGTTTCAAACCTACACACTATTTATTAATATATGGCAGCTACGTATAATTGTCCATCTATACGTAGGCTAGGCACAGATGACAAACAGAGATATATCAAAAAAGATATACAAACCATAGTTATTCTTTTAATAGTGCCCCATTGTATGCTCTGGTTAAAACTTGGTAGAACAATAACTTGTATATGTTGATATTAATTTATTTTTAAATTCTATATGTATTCAGCCTACCGAGAAAAAAATGGCAGGTTTCATGGTCAGCTTGTCCACATTGATCAAAGAGAGGAAGCGTGGCATGTGTCCTTCTCTGCTGGATGCATAAGCATACCTACAGTAACAAAAACCATACACTGCAATAGCATAAAACACTACGTAGTCACTAATTGGGCTTAAAGGTTTGTTTTAGTGAACCATTTTATTTCAGCAAAATTATGCTTGTGTTTCATATGAAAGTCATCAAGAGCGTATTAGGTATTAACATACGCTCTTGAAGTTATTCTATAACGTTTCTACTCACTGTCACACTGTTTTAATATACAACTTTACCTGGACATGGACATTACAGATGAATTTATGCCTCCAATAACTGACACACTGACAAACAGAGGAATGATCCAATGCATGACTCCCATGGTCTTCTTACCAAAGAGCTATAACAATAAAATAATATACCAAATAATATAATCAACCATGTACTAGTTACACAAAAAATTGTATTAAAATATAGGTGTGATTTTGACTTTATATCAATATAGTATGTCTTATGATCGACAGAGAATGTCGTATGCTAATACTTATTTAGTCGTTTTCATACAGGATATAGGAAAAAATACAAGCATAGCATAAACAATGAATATTTTTAGATTGATGAATAGTAGGCCTGTATAAACATTTAATTATAAAATACACTCAAAACCAAAAATTTGTTTCAACCTATATCACACCTAATTATAACTGCCATTATCATAATGGGTTACATTTTCAATGCTGGCCTGTCTGAAGATTTTACCTGGACCAATTTAATAGAAGCTAGGAATGTCAATGATGATGGCCCAGGTCAGGGTTGTAGATTGCGGGGGGGATGGGGGGGATGCATCCCCCCACTTATTGACGTGGGGGGGGATTGCGTGTACAATCATACCCCCCACTTTCAGGAGGAAAATGGGGAATTGAAAATTTTCTGGGCGAGGACCCGCATACCCCGCCTGTTTCTTACCACCCTCCTCGAAAACCTGCATTGGCCACTGTCGAGCCTAACAAATTGAGCACCCCCACTTCAAAAATCGTTCTGTGGCGCCTGTAAAGTACTACTAACAAAGATTATGATTATGAATATTTGTATGCATATCAAAAGTCAAATTTGAGTTCATCTGACAGGGGCGTAGATAGCGGGGATGGGGGTATATCTTCCCACACTTATTGAGGTGAGATGGCTTTCATCCCCCCCTACTTTTTAATATTTAAAAAGTAAATATTAAATTTTTAATATTTTACAGACAATAAATACTGGATATTTATCTACAAATACGTCATCGCTATTCATACTCTCCTAATGTATTATTACAAAAATGGAACGTGACATAACATCTACTGTAAAATGGCTGTAACTCGTTCCAAGAATGACATTATTTTACTGAAACTCAGACGGTTAATTTTGGATGCATTCCCCATACATACGATTTTATTTTCAAAATCCCCAGTCTTATCACTGCTCACGAAAGTTAAATCCTTGCTTTATTCAAAATTAGAATAGACCTATTGAGAGTTGTGATATTGAATTTTCACGGAGATTGAATGGAAAAATTAAATTTCATCTCACTTTTTTGGGGGAGGATGGGGGTGCTGAGACCCGACCGGAAGTATATTCCCGATTTTGTATAAGGGGTGAAAATATGCACTTTTTAGTTCAAATCTGGTTGTTTTTCTCATATTTTTGTGCAGTTTTAACGTTCTCAGTAAAATATACGTTTTATCAAAAGT